CACGTAATATTATTTCCCAATGAACTCACATTTATTGATTTTAGGTTATGATGATGAAAAGGTTGTATTTGGTTTTGATGTTGTAAAATTAATGGTTGAACTGGATTTAACTTCGAAGTGAGATCATATAAAATGTAGTGAAATTGATTTTCTGATTGATTGTTGTTGTTGTGGTTATTATTATTATCATTATTACTTTCTGGCAATGTTGTTATCAATAAGTATGGGAAGCCATTCATTTTAAAATGGTGTACATTTAGGATTTTTTTGATATATTTAGAATCTTTTAATTTTGATTTATCATGATTATGATATAATTTAATATTGTAGTCCATAGTCCTAAATTCTGCAATGTATGCTTTCTTCCCTCTGAGAAATTTTATTGGAAGTGGGGGATAACTTTGAACCACTAAATGTTCATCATTATAAAGATAATCATATTTACAATTTGCTATGCTGTCATCTAAACTACTATACCTTCCTTTAGTAAAAAATTGTGACTCATTGTTTTGATTTAGTTGTTCAGCAGAAATAAAACTAGTTATGGTAGAGGTTTGATCTTGTGGTCTGAAATTAGTCATCAACGTTTGTAATAAATGGACCATATTTAACGTAAGAAAGTAATAATAATAATAAAAAAAATGGTGCGACATTCAATTACTTTTTTTGTATAATAAAAAATGTTAATCATACATACGTTTCTGGTTCAAAGATCATATAGAACTATTAAAAAATATTGATCTATTGATTCGGGACACGTGAAATAAATCTAATGAATCATTATTCGATTCAAACAATAAACAATCCAGTGTTTATGTTAGAGGCAAATACTTTTTTTTTTCACACTAAAGAAAGCAAATTTTAATGATCTAAAAAATCTATATATTAATTCTACAAACAAATAAACATATATATAAACATCTAATGTAAGAAAATTGTATAAATAAAATAATTGATACAGATATTAGCATTTTATTTTATTTTACAAAAAATGCATTAAAAGAAAAACAATAAAAAAATATGATTGATTTTGATGTTGAAAAACGAGAACGTGTTACGACCATCATCCGCGTTACCAACATCATCTAAAAATGTTAATCACCGTTAATTACATACCATCTTGTTCACTCATGTTATTTATATCAACTGCTATTATTATTTCTGTTCGTACATACTACCAATATTTTTCATTGGGGATTTTCTATTAGATAAATAAATAACCAGTCATTTATAAATAATTTTACTCTCATTAATATCTCCACTGATAACGCGAACAAAGTCATGATTGTATATGATGGCTATAAATGTAGTTTCCATGATGATTTAAATGTGGTATTGATGGAGTATCTTTCTTTAAATAATTCCTTTTACTTGGCGAATAAACATTGGTATTTAAATTCCTTACCATCCAATAATTGTCGCCAATATTTGCTCCAAAGTCACTTTCAATGAATTAGGTTATGTATGATGAAAATGATATAACCGAAAGGAATAAAAATTATCATTTCTTAAAACAATCAAGGATCACGTAACATCTAATACAATGAATGATACTACCAATATGGTCTATTATATAGTATATCAACAACTTCTTATAATATTTGTATTAAAAGTAAAATATAAACTAAAAATGGATATGTTATGAATAAAAAATAATGACTGGATCTTATGATCGCGGTAAATTTTCTTGTTTTATTTAAACCCTAATTCTTAATACAAGGTAATTGTTATAATTAATTCAACTTTTAGTTAATTCAATTTAGTTATTTTTTCTAGCATTAACTGTTTTTTCGCCAGACGGACATTTATTTCAAGTTGAATATGCTTTAGAAGCTGTTAGAAAAGGAACTTGTGCGGTATTTATCTTTATTGTTTACGTTTGATATTTACTCAATCATTTATGAGGAATTTTTATGTTTATTAATTAATTCGTTGTATAGGTGGGAGTCCGTGGTGAAGATTGTGTTGTTCTTGGTTTGAAAAAAAAAGCAGTTCTTAAATTACAAGATCCACGCACTGTACGAAAGATTGCCATGCTAGATGATCACGTATGCATGGCATTTGCTGGTACAGAATTATTGATGTTGCTGTTGTTGCTGTTATTATTATTGTGTTTTTTTTTTGAGGTGAAGATTATAAATTAATAATAAAAACATTAAAAATACATTCCTAATGAATTGTAAAAGGTCTTAGTGCAGATGCAAGGGTTCTTGTTAATAAAGCTAGAATAGAATGTCCAAGCCAT